CTTTTGTGTATCTATTTTTTCATTGGCTGAGCAGCGTAAGAGAAGTTTTACGTGAAAAGTGGGAAGGGTGGACGAAACATTTGAAAATACATATGTAAAATCAATTGAAAATAGATGGTATTGAAAATACATAGATTCAAAAATATTGTGCATATACAATACAATATTTACTTAATAATGAGATGTGAATAGAATAAGCTTGATATCCTAACCGGCAATCTCAATGCACACGTGCATAATGTGACTTTGAACTGAAAATGTCTGATGGCATTTGTCGATTGTGCTCAACTAAACCTCCAATAAAAAATTTATTTTATGCTCCTGCCGAAGCAAATACCATCCCAGCTGTGTTAGACGTGCAGTTAATTTACCCAACGGATCATTTTAATTCTGTTGTACTAATAAATCCGAACTTGAGCGGTTTGACTATACAAGTGAATTAGAGATGTCAGGCAATATTAAATCTCTGGATGAATTATGGGACAAAGTCAGCTCTAAGATTGATGGTTCTAACAAAAAAGTTGATGAGATATCACCAAAAATCGATGATAGTCTTAGCAGAATATCTATTAATGAGAATCAGATTCATGATTTGGAACTAAGAGCTGACAATATTGAGAAGGATATTGGTGGCATATCTGATGAGTATATTAATCTTGTAAGTGCCGAAATTGATGACAGAATGAAGAGATCAATGAATCTTATAGTAAAAAAATTGGATGATAAAAATAACATTAAATCTTTGGTGATAGTGCTCCTTGATAGTGGATTTCTATTTGCCAGAAGGAACTGTTATTTGCTGTTTATCTTGTCTACCTCCTCACTCATCCATTGGTGGTGACAAGTTTTTAGCTGAAATGTTAACCTTACTCGTGTAATGGGTGACTTGTACCTTTCAAAGCCAGACAATAAACTTATGATGCTGGGTGATTTGAATTTACTTGGATTTTCCTGGAAATAGGGGTCCACTATAACCATGCTGAAGGGTAAAGATGCAAATGACCATGTATCTCAAGCTGCCACATCATTTGATGAGTTGATAAATAGACTGAGTTTGTGTGAATATATCGATATACCCAATAAAAGTAATAACTATTTAGATATACTCTTCACCGATTGTAAAGTATGGTCCATTGTTGTGAGTTTTGACCCGCTATCAAAATTATCTAATTATCACTCAGCTTATGAAGTTATTCTTGAAATATCTAGAAACTGTAATCTTAAGTATGATTATTTTGGATTTAATTTTAAAAAAGGTAATTATGAAGTAATCAATGAAGAGTCAAAAAAACTTAAGTGGGAAAATATAGTTTCTGGTGTTAATAACATTGAGGAAAAGTAGACTTATTTTATAAAAAACTTTTTGAAATTATTACTTGTTCGGTACCTATTACCTAGGTTCTTTTCTTCCACATATCCTCCTTGGTTTTCATTGAAAATTAGGAGGACTATTTTGGAAAAGAAAAGGCTTTACGCCCAATTTAAAGAAAAACCATCTTCTGTAAACTACAATCTATTTTCTCAACAGTAGACTATCACTAAGAAACTGATGGAATTTTTCTAGCCAGCTAGTTGATCACCAAACGGATTGAATTTCGTTAATCTAATCAGAAATCAACGCGTAAAAGATATATATTCATTTCGTCCATATCATTTCTCTAAGCAAAGGATTAAAGGGGATTTCTGCTCTACCTTCTGGCTTTGTTCTATAGTGTAGCTTGGAGGTATTGTCTGGTGCCTGCCTACTAGTTTTTTTTTGATAAATATGTTTATTGAACAAAGTACAGTAGAGTCTACATAGTGTTTATCTCTCTATAACAAAGGAAGCTTTATAAACATAATAAAAATATTTTCCTTATACTGTTGTAAACAAGTGTTATTTTAAAGGCTATTAGGCTTTTGAAGCTGCGCATAGCTCTAAAATATGTTATATAACTTGCCTGCCAGGAGGCCATAGACAAGAGATAATTGTTAAGAATATAAGTTATTGATAACAGATTTTGAGTTTATTGAATCCTCAATAAATTATTTTAATTTTTGAAAAATTATTATTTTGAGCACAAAAAACAATAGGANGCTCTACCTTCCGGCTTTGCTCTATAGTGTAGCTTGGAAGTATTGTCTGGTGCCTGTCCACTAACTTTAGTAGTAGATTGTGGGAAAGAAACACGTTAATGTTTTTTTCAGAGGTGAACTGTATGTTAAATTTCAATAGAGGTAGTATCAATTTACGCCAGATCATTATTCCACTGCTAGATTCTTTAAAAATAACATTAGAGGTTTTGTTAATCTCCATTTATAAAAAAGAACCGGCAGAGGTGCATTCAGTTCTGTCCGATTTTTTTCTGACTGGCTTTCTGCCTTTACTGAGGCAGAATAGTTTGCAATATTTGCCAAATTTTTGTAATTATGTAGTCTTGTTTTGTAGTATTCTTTTTGTCATTGGTTTTCTTGGAAAGCCGCTATGCTTCAGCAAAATTCACTTCAAACTCAATTGATTTACAAACTCAATTATTTCATTTAAATTAAGGGAAAAATATGATTAAATTTGAAATATCAATGATAATTCATGAGAAAGTTAATGTATAAATCTGTGGCAAGTTAGATTAGGTTAGGTTATTAGGTTTGAAAATTGCCTAGGGTAGTGCCTAGCGACACAAGAACCAATGGGTAAGTTTTATAAAAGGGAACGAGCATGTATAACTTTTACGACTGAGTGAACAGATACTGTTGACCTGAAACTGCGATTGGAAAAGGAAGAACGCAGTTTCTACGAATTTTAAAAGCAAAAGACGACAGAGTACCAATGGAAAGAAGGCATGCTCAAGGATGTTAGAAACGTATTACATAAATTTTACAATGAAAAGAGTTTAAAATAACCAAATTTACACAATTACACAGCATTTTTATTAATGTTCAACATTGTAATATCATTCAATATTATTTGATCTATCGTTCATCAAATGCAACTTTCAAGTAATATTGCCTGCATTTCGTGTTATGTCCAAACTTCCAATAAAATACGAATTCCCCTTACAATTTACAAATATTTTAGAATGCGACCAAAAAACTTGAAAATTTAAAAATGAATTGTATGGCTGTTTGATTTAGTTAAATGTAAGAGAATAATTCCACTGCACGAAAAAATACTTGTGAGATGTAAAAAAATTCGGTAATTTCCAATTCTAACTATAAACTGATATCCCCTTGTATGAACTTATTTATGTTCATACAATTTTTACTGGTTGTGAATTATAATACAGAATACAACACTTTACGACTACAACGAAAATATGACTGTGTTTACGACAATGCTATGACCTGAAAAGCAAGTGGAAATTTTGAGTAACGTGGATCGAAATTTCAGAAAAGTTGCATCTTATACTACCACATGTGACTGTATGACTGTGTAAAGTATTATGCTCCTCACTCTCCGGTAAATCTCGAAAACGATGAAAGCTGTTAGAAAAATCACACTGAATAAAAATTGCAGAGCATATTATTTAACATAAAAAAGTGCTGAAGTTATAATCCGAATTCCCAGTACTTTAACCGCTAGAAGGGTTGAAAAATGGAGGTTAAAAAAAAGCAGCCGACACTGACCGAATCAGCGTTCTCCAGTTCTCTTCCTCATACATACGCATGTACTTCCAGAATTACAATTTTCTGTTTCTGTTGCTCTTATTTACTATAATATCCTTTAGGTTAGCATCACATGTCCGACAGAAAAGTTTTTCTTGTTGTAATTTGTAACCTAAAGGAACGGAGAGTGCTGTCAGGCAAGTGACGGGTACTTACTTTAACCTTTGCTCCTATACATTTTGGGAACTGGGGTTATCCCCCATAAGGACCTTATTATGTTAAAAAATATGCTTTATAATTAAGTAGCTATTTAACGCTAAAATCGAAGAAACCAAAATTTTACATTGTTGTAGGCACGATACACTTATACCGGTATGCTACACCTTCGGCTCAAGCGCATCTAGTTCGCGCAGATGATGTCACTGCGAAGCACGGAATGAGATACAATTTTACCGCATTTCTCGAATTTCTATAAATTACTCCAATCTTTTGCTGATATTGTGTTATTGTGTGTATAAACATGCCAGAGTATGCGATTACTGAATGTGGAAACTACAATAGAATACAAGTAAAAATCAAATATTTCCGATTTCCAATAAAAAACAAAGAAATCTGTAAGAAGTGGATTAATGCATGCCGCCGAGTTAAAAAAATCTAAAAAACGGTAGGTAATATCACCGAAAAAAAAATTATTCTGAAAAAATATGGATTTGTAATAATTGTTTTCTATTATACAATTTTCAGCATGCATATGTTCAGCCCGCTTTGAACCTAATTGATGTTATTTTATTAATACGAACTGAGTTCAAGCTGTATTTGAATAAATTTATTAATCCTTTGATTACACCTCAACTATTGCTATCAACTGTTATAGCCAACTATTAATGTATACTCATTGCCATATTCAACACCCCCTCTCAATGATATACATTTAACAAAAATAAACTTAAATTAACGTACAATATCTTAGTCTACAACCATTGAAAAATACATAAGTTAAACTTCGTTGCTACTGCTACAAATAATCTAAAAGTGGACAGTTTTGCGACTGGAGCATAAATATCATTAAAATCTAACACATCTTGTTGCTCAAAACCCCTAGCAACTAACTTAGCTTTATACTGTTCGACATTATTTACAGTTTTAATTTTAAAAACCCACTTACTACTTACTGTTTTTACATTCTCTGGTAAATCACAGACATCCCACGTATTATTATCTTTTAAAGTCTGTAATTCTTTTCCTATAGCTTCTTTCCACTTACTCGCATCACTTCTTATCATAGCCTCACTGTATGTAGTTGGCTCACACTCATTATTATCCAACTGCACATTATTGCACTTATAGAAAGAAGTTTGTTTTCTTAGACGCTTGTTTCTTTGTTCTCTGGGTGAAATAGTTCCTTCTAACAAGTTTACTTCATCAGTGCTTGAAGTTTCCGTTGTCCCATCTAAGCTCGAAGTTAACTCGCTGACTTCTGTCCCCACGTTACTATTACTATCTTGTATGAACTCATCTAGATCTATTGACGTCATAGGTTCTTTTTCCTTATCTTCCTTCACAGATTCTTTTTCCTTATCTTCCTTTATAGATTCTTTTTCCTTCTTACCATCTTGCTTTAAGGAAACAATATCTTTCTTAGTTGCCACTGTGTTCCTTTGGGAAAAATAAATTCTATATCCTTTCACATCCTCTTTATAACCGAGCATTAACCCTTTTTCACCTTTCTGATCCCATTTCCTTCTTCTTTCCTTCGGAATGTGAACATACACTTCAGTGCCAAAGACTTTGAATTGATGAATATTATACGTTTTATTTGTCCATACTCCGAATGGAGATCTTCCATTTTCGTGACTCTTCCCAGTTCTATTCAATACAAACACCGCTGTATTAATTGCTTCAGCTTACAGTTTCTTCGGTAAGTTTTCTTCATGTAACATTGTCCTTGCTGCTTCCACCAATGTTCTATTTTCTCTTTCAGCCTTCCCATTCTGTTGAGGGGTATATGGCACTGTTGTTTGGTGTGTTATTCCACGTTTTAAAAATATTGCCTTCACTTCTTTATTAACAAACTCTAGTCCGATGTCACTTCTAAATAACTTTACTCTGTTTCCAGTTATATTCTCGGCTTTATTTATAAAATTTTCAATGCAATATTTGATCTCATGTTTTGTTTTGACAAAGTACACACTTCTGAAGTTAGAGTAGTCGTATTTTAGTATGACAAAATATTTCGACCCACCAACAAAGGCTTCTTCCATTGGGCCGCAAGTATCGGCATGAATTAGCTCACATGTCCTAGTACTCATATATTCACTTCTACCGAATGGTAATCTATGTAGCTTTCCAGCCAAACAACCCTCACATTGAGGTTTAGCAGTCTGTTTCACATCCACATTGATTTTCCGAAGAATGTCTTTCACGTAAGTAAAGTTATGATGCGCCAGTCTTTTGTGCCATTCATTTAAGTCATTCTGTACTAATATTGCATTATTTGCAGTCTCGCGCTCGCGTTTATGACGTAATTCCAAATAATAAGAATTCCCACTTCGTTCTGCTACTGCACTGACTTCATCACACTTGTAAATTTTGCATGAACTGTCATCTGTCATCATGACGTAACCCTTACCTGTGACACGATTGACTGAAAATAGATTAGTTTTTAATTCTGGAACGTACAACACATTGTCTATAATTGTATCAATCCATTCGGTCCCGTTCGATACTTGTACCGCTACTTGTCCGCATCCTAGGGCACTAATTACTGCGCCATTACCAACGATTACCGATTTCTGCAAACTTAAGAACGATGTAAACAATGCGAGATCTCGACACATATGTTCGCTGGAACCAGAATCTACCAACCACCTTGATTTATGCAATTCTTGTGACGAGTTAGACACTACAAATGCATTACCCTTCGTTGTATTCTCAGTCTTACCACCTTTCTGTTTTCTAAACCGACACTGTACCTTGTAATGTCAGAACTTTCCACAATAGAAGCAGCTATTATTTTTTACTTTTTCTTCGCTGTTATTCTTATTACTTCTGCATTCATTTTGATAATGTCCATTTTTACCACACTTATAACACTTTACAGGTCTTTTATTTTTCACGACGAACGCAAATGACGATGAAGTTAAGTGTGATTCTCCATTTTTTCCTCTCACTCTTTCTTCTTCAATTAATAATCTGGCCATCAAGTTGTCAATGGTTTACTTATCATTAGATGCAGATTCCCACGCCGACACAAAATGCTTATATTCATCAGGCAATGACATTAACACTTTTGTAATTTCAAACTTGTCAGAGATTTCCTCGCTCATCTGTTTTAATTGATTTTGCATTTCTTGGATCTTGGATAAGAAGACTGACATATCGATTCCTTTCTCGTATTTGTATTGGAAAAATCTCTGTTGTATTATATGTACACTTGTTTCCGTCTTCTGCTCATATACACTTTGAAGTTTCCTCCACATTTCAGCAGAGCTCGTACACGTAATGATGTGTAACAAACCTTCTTCCGTCATCCGTGTAACCAATAATGCTTGCGCCTTGGCAACTGTTATAGTCAACTATTAATGTATACTCATTGCCATATTCAACACTAATTGTTCTGTTGGACCCTCTCTTCAGCAACAATACAATACGTCTAAATATAATAGAAACCTTAAAGATGATGCTATACCAACTTTGAATATATCCGGAAAAAGAAAAAGCATTGACGATTTAGGGAGGTCTGTTCGCCTTGAAAAAGGAAGAAAAGTTAGAACCACTTCATCTGAGACAACCTCGGAAACTATAACCAACACTCTAGAGGACACAAACTAGTATTTTTTCGGAGGACAAAAATAAAACGTCTGTACAATAGCCGTAACTGGCCTTTGAACGTGAAGGCGATTTATTTATGGTCCCCAACAAAAACTATCTTCGACAACTACCCACTGGTGGTAACTTTCTAAAAGTTGACTTGACCCTGGTGTAAGAAAAAAAAGAAGGCTAGAGAGTCAGTCGGATTATAACGCATTGAAAGGTTCTCTTCACTTCCCAAGATAAAATAAAAAAGGACATTAAAATAATTAATACGATTACACGTTGAGTTTCCCAAATTGGTGACCCCGACGTGATTAACTTTGTTCGAGAAACGTAGTGTATTAAAAAGAAAAAGAACAAAAGTCGTGAAAAGTGCGGATAAATGATCAACGATGAAAACAGTGCCGCGTCTGCGTCAAACAATAACGCATCAGCAGTGGTAAAGTTACCCGATTTTTGGCCTAAAAAGATAGCCTTGTGGTTTACTCAAGTGGAGATTGTATTTTCGCTAAATCGGATAACCAAAGATGACACAAAGTACATGCACATCGTCAGCCAGCTAAGCCCACAATACTTGGACGAAATCGAGGATATTCTTATGCATCCACCAGCAGAAAATAAGTGTGAGACCATCAAGGCGGTGCTCATTAAACGATTATCCGATTCGGATGCAGCCAAAGCACAACAACTTCTCAAGAGGGAAGAAATTGGCGATAGAACGCCGGGTCAGTTTTGGCGGCATATGAAAAAGCTTGCTAATAGTAAACTGCAAGACGATTTACTGATTGAGCTATGGAAGAGCAGACTGCCCATTCGGACCCAGGAAGTGATAACTGCCCTGGATCAAACGGATGGCGAAGAACTAGCTGAAATCGCTGACCGAATCCATTTCATGCCACCAACTAATAGCCGAGTTGCAGCGATAGAGTCGCTGCAATCTCCCTCTATATGCGACCAATTTACGAAAATAATTGAAGGGATGGAAGCTATGCAGTTGGAGGTTATAAGTGCCATAACGAAAAATAGCACGCCGAATCGCAGTAGATCCCGATCCAGATCCCAGAGGAATAACCGGGGTCGCAGCAACTGCCGTCGTCAATTCGCGACCTGTTAGTACCATTATAAATTTGGTGCCAACTAGCGACCTGAGAAATGCGTACCACCGTGTAATTTCAAGAGGGCGGAAAATGGGTCGTCTGTGTGCGCGGCGGTCGATGGTCCCAAAAACGGCCGCATTTTCGTTGCCGATAAAAACACCGAAATGCAGTTTTTAATCGACACCGGTGCAGATGTATGTGTGTACCCGCGATCTAAAATAGGTGGTCGTGCAATAAAGTATCAATACGAGCTTTCTGCAGCAAACGGAACTCGCATTGCCACGTACGGTACAGTAGCTTTAAATTTTAATTTACGACGGGAGTTTTTGTGGCGGTTCATAGTGGCCGACGTAGATATTCCCATTATCGGTATGGACTTTCTTGCGCATTACAATCAGCTAATAGACCCACGTCATAAAATCCTAATGGACTCGACAAGACTTCAAGCTACGGGAAAAAGTGCAAACAAGGTTGTGGCCATTAATTAACAAAGATACAAGGGATTGGGCACGGTATTGTATTGCGTGCCAAAAATCTAAAATTTCGCGCCATGTCAACGCTCCAGTGCATGATTTTCCATCAACTTATGCTGGATTTGAGCACGTTCACATAGATTTGGTAGAACCCTTGCCAATGTCGCAGGAATATCGATACATACTAACGTGCACCGATCGATTTTCGCGATGGCCAGAAGCGACGTCGATCACCGATATCGATGCCGAAATCGTCGCGAAAACATTTATTAATACGTGGATTTCACGATATGGCGTACCCCTACGGTTAACAATTGATCGTGGCCGCCAATTTGAATTCACGCTGTTTAAAGAATTAGCACAGACATTAGGTATTACGCATTTAAGAACTACCTTTAGTTCTGTTAGGTATACGTACAGCTGTAAAAGAAGACTTAAAAGTGACCGCAGCGGAAATGCTATATGGGTTGAGTTTACGTTTGCCTGGGGAATTTTTCAAACAACTTAGGAGATTACATGAAAAATATAACATTTATTCCAGCAATTCGTCATGGGATGAATAAAGTGTTTGTTTTTAAAAACCTTAATTCATCTCCGTACGTATTCCTACGCAAAGAGACAATAAAAGGCTCTTTATAACAACCGTACGACGGTTCGTACGAATTTATTGAGCGGAAAGATAAAAATTTTGCAATTAAAATTAATAATAAAAACGTAAAAGTTAATATCAATAGAATCAAACCTGTCATTATGTTATCTAATTTTGCAAATAATCAAGAAAATAATGAAAAAAAAATTGATATTAGTTTTAATGATTTCAATAAAAATAATAACATCGATGTTAGCGTAATTCCCGCAAAGACCCGATCAGGTAGGAAAGTATTGTTTCTGAAAGTTTGAAGCAGGTTTGAATTAAATAATAACTTACTTTATATTATGTAAGCACATATAGTTCTAGTAATAATTAGCATAATTGTATAAAGTAAATAGTATTTCCTAATATTAACAATTTTTTTTTGTACACGACTTTATTTCATTACCGTTCATTTGTTATCATAAGTAAGTAAGCTATTATAATAAGTAAAAAATGTAGACAACAATATATTCATGTATTCGTTATCACTGGTAAGGGGCTCATGTAGAGGACACAAACTAGTATTTTTCGGAGGACAAAAATAAAACGTCTGTATAATAGTCGTAACTGGCCTTTGAACGTGAAGGCGATTTATTTATGGTCCTCAATAAAAAATATCTCTGACAACTACCCACCGGTGGTAACTTTCTAAAAGTTGACCCTGGTGTAAGAAAAAAGAGAAGACTAGAGAGTCAGTCGGAGTATAACGCATTGAAAGGTTCTCTTCACTTCCCAAAATAAAATAAAAAAGGACATTAAAATAATTAATACAAGATTAATCGAAGATGGTTTATATTAGGTAAAAATTCGGCGGCAGTTTTTACAGAAAATACTAATAACGAAGATCATGGCGAGCAGTGTTTAGTCACACCTCTAGAAAATAACGAACATAAATCAGATGGTATTTGAAATTAAGGGATTTGTTTAACTACAGGTATGTTAGGAGAATTGGCCGTTGATCATAAAACTGCTCCTGACACAACAGAAGAGGAAATTTTAGTTTTCCAATCATTTATCCAGCCGCAATATTCTGAAATAGATTTTCCAGACACTGAAGCTATGAATGCAAACTCACAGTTCCTAAATGAATTTCATTGTAAAGGAAAAATTACTCAAGAGTCTCTTAAATACATAGCTGGGTATGTTTCATATAAGTTTAAACCTAAATATTGTTTGGGATCTCCAACAAGTATGGCAGAAAAGGACGACTGGTTCGTCTTTTATTTGTTCCGTTTGTAGTTGTAAATAACCGATTTTGCGTGTTAGTGTTATATCCTTAATATAATCGGAATTGCGTAATAGTAATTTTGTTTAAATTTTCTGCAAATGGTTTTAGAGAATATTTATGAAAGAATGTATGAGAACTCAATTGTACTCTTGCTTGTTCTAATTTAAAAGGTAAAATACCTGCATTATCAGTAAGGTCTTTAATTTCCACGCGTTGTACGAAAACTTGCTGAATGATTGTTATTAAAAAGATGTTAATGATCCAATACCTCATCTGCAACAAATTTAATAATGTAATGTAGGTAAGCTGTGTCTTTCTAAGGGGTTTCAATTCTTGTTTATGATAAATCTGACCTTTTCGGGTTTTGATTTCCTAAGTCTTCTTGCACAATTTCTTTTCTAAAACGTGGTGCCTTTTTATCTCTTATATGCATCTTTAAATACACCGGTTGATCTTCTTTTAAGGGTAAGAATTGTGAACGTTTTATATTTTGGTTTTGAATTTGTTGTTCTTTTTGGTTGATTAAATTTTCTGATACTAATTCATATAGAGCCTTAATTTTATAGTAACTTTCGGTGGTGTACTGATGGTAGTAATTTTCGTCAAATACTTCTAACATGTCATTTGTCTCTATGTGTCCGAAAAGTAATTCAGTTGGTTTGCATTTGGTTTGTGAATCTATGAATTTTTGGCAACTGCTGATTATATCGGGCCAATAATAATATCTGGAAATTTCAGTTGCTAGCTCTTGAGCTCCGCGGTGGTCAGGATTATGTATTTGTTTAAGGATTTCTTGTTGTGCTTGTTTTTCGGTAACGTCTTTTAAGGTCAAATGAGTATACACTACTTTAACAGATCCGTCAAAATTAGAGTTTACTAGGTATGCTAATTCTTCATAGAACGGTTTATTTTTACATCTAATTGCATTTGTTACTTTTGGATTTAAATATTGATGTAGAACGTTAATTATTTCGTTTTCGTAATTTTGGTAACTAAGTTGGACTAAATGTCGCGTTTTGTTAAACAATTGGATTTGTCTAATAGCGGGTTTATATGAAAAGGAGATTTCAAATTGATTCTTATAAAAATTAATTGGTTTTTCTGTAATTGGTAATTCTGCATTTGTGTTTTCTGTTTGTGAGTGTTGTGTTACAGTTTCATCGTTCTGTTTAGTGTTGTCGACGTTATCAATATTATCAGTGGTTGTGAATGTTGATGGGATAGATGGTTTATCGGGTGGCTTTATTTGTATATCAGTAAGGATTTTAATTTTCTTTTCTTTAGGAATTTCGGTCTTCGTAGGAGATGTCTCTTTGTCCTTGTCGAGTTGGAGAAAGTCATCTAGATCTTCAATTTCTAACAAGTCTCTTTCATTAATATCACCTGGGTTGTTAAATAAGGATAATAATTCGTCCCTAGTTTCAAGCGGATTTGCTTCTAACCTTGATAAAAAATCTGCATTGCTGTTACTTTTACCTTTCTTATATATAATTTTGTAGTCAAACTCTTCCAAGCGTAGACGCCATCTGATTAATTTAGAATTTGGTTCTTTAACATTAAATAACCATTGCAGTGGTTTATGGTCCGTCACTATATTGAATTGTCTACCGTATATGTAAGGCCTAAACATTTTGACTGCCCAAATTATTGCCAAACATTCCTTCTCTATTACTGAATAGTGTTGTTCGTGTTCGTTAAGAGTTCTACTGATAAACATTATTGGTTTATCTTTGCCAATAGGGCCTTGGGATAAAACGGCTCCTAGTCCTACGTTTGATGCGTCACATGTTACGTTAAAGGGTTTATTGAAGTCTGGATATGATAGAATTGGTGGGTTACTAATAATTCGTTTTATATTATTAAAGGCGTTTATAAATTCTGCTGTATGGGAAATTTTGGAATTTTTCTTTAAACATAGGGTTAACGGTTTAGTAACAGTCGCGTAATTTTTAATAAATTCTCGGTAATATCCTGTTAAACCTAAAAATGACTTGATGTCTTTAGTAGTTCGAGGTAATTTCAGCGCCTGAATTTTACTTACTAGTTTCGGGTTTGATTTTATACCATCTGTGGTGATTAAATGACCTAAATATTCTATCTCGCGTAAGACGAATTCTGATTTTTAGAGTTGGACCTTAAATCTGTGCTCTTTTAATCTATCAAATACAGTTTTTACGTTTTGGACATGTTGTTCGAAAGTGTTGCCTAAAATAATAATACCGTCGAGATATACTAGACAAATTTTGTCAATCAAACCTTCTAATACTTTGTTCATTACACGGGCGAAACAAGCTGGAGCGTTTCGTAAACCAAAAGGCATGCGCACAAAGTGCCAATGTCCTTTTTCTGTCGAAAATGCGGTTTTATGCTGATCATCAGGTTCTATCTCAATTTGATGGTACCCACTTTTTAAATCTAATTTTGAAAAATAATTTGAACTTCCTAAAAGATCTAAAATTGTAGTAATATTTGGAATTGGATACTTGTCTTCTATTGTTTTCTCATTGAGTTTTCGGAAATCAACAATCATACGCCAAGCGACTTTTTCACTCTTATCCGGTTTCTTGGGAACAAGAAATATTGGAGAATTGTAAGGTGATTCGCTTTCAACTATGATATTTTGACGTTTAAGTTCGTCTACCTGTTTGTCTACTTCAGCTCTTTGCACCTGTGGGAAGCGGT